AACACCATATGTGTATCTGAATATCTGAATAAACACTCGCACACACATACATACACACACACATATGTATGTATGTATGGATCTGTGGTGGTCTGTGGGCCTCCACGAGTCGCCAGACTCTCGGCAACAGCGACTGTTTTAATCACAATAAATAGGAATTAGAATTAGAATTAGCTTGCCGGGGCATCATCGCACAGTTAGCGCACGTTTTCCAAATTAACTCGGGACAGCTGCCACTGCCACCGCCACCGCCACCGCCTGGCTTTCTTGGGTTAAATACTTAAAAATGCTGTATGCGGGGTACATAAAAAGCAACGCATTCTTGCGTTTCGTCTCAATTTTACGTGTACTACATATTTCATTGCCGGTCTTGTTAATTTTATCATCCATCGATTTTGAGGGGGGGTCCGGTGCCTAATCTAATCGAAGAGCGCGTCCAGGGACTCAAGCAAAGTAATTAAATGCCAACCGAGAACTGATTTATTATCAGATGGAATATAGATTGATCAACTTTAGATTTTGCCCACCACAGCACAGCCATCATCGTCGTCGTCATCGTTCCCGATGCGAATCCGAATCAAAATCCAAAGATTGTCAGCAGATTATTTTGTTTATGGTTTCGTTTTGATAGCAGATTGTTTTCCCTCTGGCCGCCCGCCCCCTGTCTTTTCTTCCAGTCAAGATCAAGATTTCAGGAAAGGTCAGCAAGGCAAAATAGATACTTGGGAATTAATGCCACGAGTAGATATTATAATATCTGGCACATCTCTTACAACCTGCACGAGACTCAGTTCGTTTGCTACGAAGATTTTCTCTCACACACATTTTTACTGGTTCTTTTCCCAAGAAGTTCTTAATTTCACTTCCTTTGGAACTAGTTCATATTTGTACATAAATGGAGTCGGGACTTTTCTGTAAATAAAATATTTAATAAACGGATTGGAACTTGGATTAGTTCAATCCTGAACTAGTTCCGCTCATAGCTCATTAACGAGTAAATACCGTTGCGGGCACAAAATTTCCCATAAGTGCGTGACTCTAGAATCAGTTCACATTCAAGGACCCTCTAGCTCCAGAACTAGTTCACTGGAACTAGTTCAGTTCATAGATCATTTTAGCCAAAAAAAATAGCAACTGCCGCATACATCAAAGTGCATGGCATGCCTCGCCTCGTGTCGCCCCCCCCCCCCCCCCCCCCCGAACTGGTTCCGTAAACCTGCTCTTGGCATTTTGTAAATTTCCATACCGTCGCGCGACGTTCCGAACGGAACGGAATGGAACGAACGAACCGAACTGGAATTTCGCAGACAAATCGTCTGCCCAGACGACAGACAACTGAAAAGCAGAGAGACAGAAAAAAAATATAAAAATAATACCGATGGGGCTGTGGCTCGAAAAACGCAATCCAAACCAAAAAACAACAACAACGAAAAAAATGAAACTTTTGGCATTTAAGTGAATGAAGCTGCAGGCAAGAGGCTTATAAAATAATGCCCGAAACAAATCAATTAGCTGCGGCCCCTCTTTTCCGATAAGCCTCCCGATGACCATAAACAAATTGTGTGTTGGAAAAGACAGAGACGGAAATAGCTGAAAGACTGTAAGACTGAAAGGCGGGCAGAAAGGTAAAGATTGACTTTTGTCGATTGCCGATTGTGTCGTTTGTCGTTTGTCGTTTGTCGTCGTCTACGGCGGCATCTGATCCACTAATCAAGGTGCATTTATATGCCCAGCGGATCCGATGGCGACAATTACAACCTGATTGAGAGAGCCGACAGGTAGAGCGAGATAGAGAGAGAGAGACACATAGGTTCCGCATACGAATGGTTGGGGGGAATTTCAATTTAGTTCCAAAAAACAAATGCACTTGCCCAATCAACTCCCCAGCCACAGGTTTTTGTTTCTGTTTGACTTTGAACTTGAAAATCGGTACTGCTGCCTCCGGGCTGTAAATCGAGCCCCGGCTTGGCAACCGCTGCGTATACGTAACATACGGCTGCATACAAGATTTCTTTTCTCTCTGATTAGCTTATTTCTGATCACCTGCTGGTGCTGCTGGTGCAGTTGATTGGATAGACCTTATCGGGCAGCAGGGTCTGCGATTTGTGCAACAAGCGGTCACGTTTTTCCTGCCACTCGGCTTCGGTTTTGGTTTCGGTTTCGTTTCTTTGTTACAAGACACTTCCTGGTAGATAGATAGCAGCACTCGTGAGTGGCAAGGAATGCGAGCAGAGCGTGTGCCAAAGGGATTATCTATTCGAATGGGATCCGATCACATGACCTACCCCTAGCTCTTGGGACTGAAAACTTCGCGACCAGTTCGCACCTCTCGCACCTTATTACTCCCGAATGAATCACAAAGGGCGGACAACGGACGGTTTGTCAGCTCAACTATTGGATTCGCCAATGAAATGGAATGTGTATCTTCACTACCATTATATGGGTTTTCCATTATCTGGAATTTGCTGTTTACGGGCACTCGAATAAGTGTTGTTTCTACGTCGTTCAGGAAATCTTGAGCGATACTGATACGCGGATAGCAAATAGCATTTACCCCTCTCTCCTCTCCGCTCCTCTCCTTCCATAGTTTGGGATCGATACGTCGTTTTGTATGGATCGGAGCTCTCTCTGGGCCAAGTCTCAAGTAAATCCTTGCTCGAAGGCGGCACCGTGCCTGCTTCCGACCAATCAACCAGTAATCGGGGTCATTAATCGAGTAACAAGTGCCGATAAGATTCGAGACATTGTTTTATTGGAAAACTATTTTTATATTATTACTGCCGCTCGCTCTGGTGTTCTTTGTACTCGCTGTTTTCGGAAATGGATTAGTCAGGGATCCGTCTCGCTAGCTGGAGTTTCGTATCCTATAAATCGTCGCTTGATGGGTTGTAGATCGATTATTTATCGTTGAATACATTTCGGGGCTCTGCTCTGGCTCCAATATTCCTTTATTTGCTAGGGAAACTGCAAGCCGATTGTTATCGATAAATAATCGTGGGCAAAGTGTCAATTCCCTGATATATATTTCATTTACGGCCCTGCTGCCCATAGGTTTTTATGGCCACACTTTCAAGTGCATATAAAATTAGTATCTGGTCTCTCAGCTGTCGTTCTTGTATATTCGCCATTGACGCGTGACCTGGCTGTTATGATTTGCAGTGACATGATTTTGATTTGTGCTCGAAGGCTGCCCGTCCACGCGAAGCCGATAAGCCTTCCAAAGAAGAAAAAAGAACCGTTCGAGCCCTCGAGTTTCGAGTGGTCCCACACCGCAATTGACTGGCCGCCGATTGAGCGGCAATCATCATCGTTTTCATTGTCGGCCAAGTGGACAGGGACAGTTTATTGTGTCCGCGTGCTGTGTGTTGTCAGGCGATCCGGCGAGCTGGCGATCAAGCGTGCCAGCAAATTAAAATCTTATCGTTTTGGAAAAGTTGCGAAAAGTCCATAAACAAAAGTCTTCCACTTATCGCCCTGACTGTGACACCCGTAGACCATTTTCCAGAAATTGCATTTCGAATGGATTTGCAGTCCCTAAACTGAATTTGCCAATGGTTTGCCCTCCGGCCCTGCCCCTGCCGCTGCCTTGAAGCTAAAATGTGTTTTCAGCTCGCCCCAAAAGAAAGACACAACTCTTGTAGAAGCGACACACACAAAACAGGTCCTAAACAAGTGCTAAAAACCAGGCTGCAACTTGGCCGTGGGTCAGGGCACCCTCCTTTTCAGGGCTCTCTATGCGGAAGTGAAGTTGAACACACAACACAGATGTTCGGGCAGGTTAGGGACTGCAAAGCCTCGTATATGGCAATGGCAGTTTATTGCGGGGGATGCCACTTTCGATGAAAGGGAAAACTTTTAGCAGCCGATCTAACCTTATGCTGAATCATGCACACGACATGTAATTTGTTTCTACTTTGAAGCATTCGCTAGTGCGTCTGGAGTCGAAAAGATGTCTTAAGCCAAAGGCTGAACCAATGAATAAGCCTAGGGAATTCGGGAGCTGCCGAGCAAACCTTATGCTGAATCATGCACACGACATGTAATATGTTTATTTCCCAATTCTCATGGATTCTACCATGAATAAGCCTAGGAGACGCCAGAACCCGTTTAGCTTCGTCTATCCCGCAGGGACAGGGTGTACTTTCTCTAGTTGTTTTTTTTTTATTGATGATTTCCATTGATTTCCAGCCAGATTCTAGCCGTTCTAGAATCTATATGCCATAGATTATGAATATCATTTAACAAAATACCGAAATGTAACACGAATTCAAACCCTTGCAGCCATATCAACGGTCCGGTGACTAAGCTCAGCGACAGCCACAGCCTCAGTTCTTCTACCTCAACCTCTCTCCCCCTAGAACATCATCCCACCCCACAACCACGCACACATCGCCCTACCCCCCACCCCACACACACACGCACACACAAACACAAACGCACATCATAGACGAGGACACGACGAGACTGAGACCGAGACCGAGACGGAGACGGAGACGGAGACGAGAGCATACCCAAAACCCATAGCCACGAAAATGTAAACCGAAACGCCCGCGGAAATTCCCATTGGATTCTTTCAATTTTTATTCCAATTCGTAAATGTTCTTCAATCAACCTCAATCATTCCTCTTCAATCAGAGCGTACGTAAAGCAATATACAACAGCATTCCGAAAAATTCTAGTTTAATGAATGAAATTTAATAAATAAATTTAAATTATTTATTCAGAACCAAATCGTGTGATATTTCAACTACCATTTTTTTTTTTTGTGTTTAGTCATAGAAAACAATAAAAACGAAAAGCTCAAAAAAAAAAAAAAAAACAGAAAAAACCAAAAACAAAAATTATGCAAAACCGATAGATAGATAGATATTATATCTAAAAAATAAACAAAATATATATTATATTATATTTATTAAAGCACCCAAACACACACACACACACACCCACACACAGTTAGTTGATGATTTTTTTGTGCGTTTTTTCGAGCCAATTTTAGTCAAAAAAAAAAAAAAAAAAAAAAAAACAAACTAAACCGAAACCGAAACAGAATATTGCACGCTACAGAAGGAAAATACAAGACAGAACACACGCCACACGAGACACACGCCCCAAGACACACGAGACACGATACAAATGCTAAAATGTCGCTACCCAACGAACAGACAACCGAGCACCCATCATCCACAGCCACAGCCAGCACACCATCCACAGGCACATCAACACCATATACAACACCATCCACAACCACAAACACAACACCCAATGAGCTGAAACACCGACTGACGCCGCTCAATGTGCGACGCCTGTCCGGCTATGCCAATCCGCAAACGGTGGACGATGCAACGTTCGATCATGCAACGGGAGGAGCGGCAGCAGCGATCAATGATGATCCGCCACCCATCACAATCAACATGAATATGAACAACAACAACAATAATAATAATAATAGTAGCTACAGCAACAACAATAATAATACAAACAACAAAAACACAACAACAACAACAACAACGCCACCATCCGCATATGCCACACCACCAATATACCAACAACAATTGTCCACACTGACAGCAACCACGCCCCTAGATGTTGTGGCATCGGATGATAAATATAAATTGTTTACCATTTTCAATGGAAACGGTGAGTGGATCCCCCTCTCCCCCTCCCCCCCTGCCACTGCCCTGCCATCCTGCCACCAAAAAAACAAACAAAAAAATCCTTAAAGCGGGAGTCTCTCAAACCTCAAGTGCGGCGTCGTCTCGGATAGGTAGGACTCTTTCTTTTGGAGTTTTCGAGGGCTGGCTACACACACACACACACACCACAAAAAGCCAGGATCAAGGGATCCTTTTTCTTCCTTTCTCTACGTTTTTTTGCTTCTTATTTTTGCCCTCTCTTTCTCTCTATTTTAAGTTTATTCTCTCTCTATCTATCTTTGACTTTTTTTTTTTAACATTTTTATGCACAAATTTCAATGAATTTGTGGTAATACTTGCTGCAAACATATCGATTTTTTTAGCCATAAAAGTATTCAATTTGTACGACTACTAATCTTTTTTAATATAATTTTTAGATCATTGCATGTTGCTTCTCTTTCTTATTATATTTCTTCACATTTTGATAATATTTTTGGGTATTTTACGAGTATGCGTATGTGCTGGGAAAGGATCAGAAATGTGCTTCTTGGACTATATTTCACATAAATTAAATTAAATTAAATGATACATGTCACCGTGCTGCTTAAAGTTTCCAGAATTTGACAGAAAGACAGATAAATTGGAACATATGTATGTACTTTGTAGTAGAGCTCTCAGATAAATCTCAAAGGAAATCTTGTAGATCCCTTCCATCCGTTTGTCTGTCTATGGATTAAAATGGGCAAAGATGAGTATGTTTGGAGTAAACCCCTATCAGGCGCCTATCAGCGAAACTCAAGTCTAGAATTATGCACACGCAATGCATGCTGTTTTGTTTTTTTTTTTGTTGCCGATCTCTGGGAAACCCAAACAACTCGGTTAGTCAGCAAGATCCTCAATTGATTTATCAAGTTATTGCCGTGCAATAGTTTTTCTTGGCTATTTCGTAGTTTCATAATGGGTAATTAATGGGTAATCGAGTGGTCGGGGGGGTAAACCCGCCACACGTATCGCGTATCGCGTAGCGGCTTTCTTAATTGTTTATTTGTTGGTTGAAATGTTTAATTGTCGCTGTCTCGGACGAATGGCTGGCGAATTTGTTTATGGCCGAGCGATTTGTGGTTTATGGAACTCCGGATACAATATACGGGGGCACTCGGATTCAGACACTAAAAACACAAAAAGATTCTATTCAAAACGAGTTTCGAGCCCCGAGGCAGCAGCACAGAAGAGACTCGGAGACCACCAGCTGGTGGAGAAGAAGAGAGAAAAAAAAATATATTTAAAAAAAAAGAAAAACAGCAACAAACAAGAGAATATTCCACACACACACACACACACACACACACACATACAATGTACACATATCATTTATAGTGATGTTAATTAATTGCCTTGCTAATTGCATAATGCTGCTAAATTTAGATGCATGCCACACACACACACACGCACACACGGCACACACGGTCCGTGCATGAGACATGAGTGAGAGACCCAGCAACCATCCACCCACCCACCCACCCACCACACGCACTCGATCTTTGATCCCTTGCAACAACCCACACCCACCCCTCTGAAAATATCCCCAAAAATATTTATGTACTAACCCTGCATCTTGCCGTGCTCTCCCCTCTTTCTTTTTTCCCCTCTCTACCCCCCAAACCATACCCCGACCATGCTCGTAACCAGATCCCGACAATGAGAAGTTGTCGGGCCTACCACATTCGACAACTGGTTCACTAAGCTCAATCATCACGACGTCCATAGCATCCTCCGAACCGGATCCTGGTGCGGCGAGTGCTGGCGGCGGAGGTGCAGGAAGCGGCGGCGGCGGCGGTGGAGGCGGCCCCAATGGCGGCCCCCTGGTGGCAGCAGACGCGGCCAGCATCGCTGGCATCAATGGCAGTTCCGAGGAGAAGCTGGCACTCAACCGGCCGGGTATCAAGCAGGAGAAATGGACAACGATCCTGCTGCAGGTCTCCATACCGTTCTTCCTGGCCGGCATCGGAACCATCGGGGCTGGCATTGTGCTGGGAAAAGTCGAGGTAAGCCGCCAGATCGAGGGATACACATACATACATACATACATATATCTAGATAGATAAAACAAAGCAAAACAAAACGAAAAAACAGCCGATAAATCCCGGGAATTCTCGTGGTGTAACTGGCGATAAGAACTTCCCCACAAAAATCAAATAAAACACACGAAACACGAAAGGCGAAACGAAAACAAAAATTGCGGCAATTGTAAATTGTAAAAAAAAAATGTTAATTGCTTTGTTGAGGGGCCATTAAAAAAGATTTACACAAAGCCCAAGCCACAAAGAAAATTATAAATAACTAATAACAATCTTTTGCTTGTAGGTTTTTGTCTTTTTTTTGTTTTATCATGTGTGGGTGGGAATATTTCCACGACAAATTGAGAAAAATAGTTATTGAAGAACTTTTCAATCACATCAATTGTTTTCTTCAGAAAATACAAAGAATAAAAGTAAGACAAGGCAATCTTTGAACCCATACAGGACCGGATTTGTAGGTCTGCAGGCCCTGGGGCCCGTAATAAATGTAGTAAGTAATAACTAATATTCTGGAGTCCTCTCTGCCCTCAAGTCCGGCCCTGATTGTCTACTATTTTTATGTGGTAGAATATCATTTATCGCTGTCTGCGAATATATCAAGAAATTTGGATGGTGGAGTGTTTAATTAGCCTGCTAATTGATGGATGGGTTGGGATGGTAAAAGTTCTGGGCCAAACTGGCACCGAAGCCAGTTCCAGGCGGCCAATGCCCGAACAGAACTGAAAATGTTTGGAAATCGCCAGACTAGAGACAGACAGACAGACGGGCGAGATTTACACAGCCATAAAGATTGCCATATGTATCTTTGTGATATCTTAATTTATTGCAATATAAATAATATATGAATGTTTGCATTCTACCCTTCTCTCCACTCTCCTCTCTCCCCTCCTCCTCTTCAGAAATGGTATGTCTTTAAGAACGTGAGCGAGCTGTTTATCCTGGTGCCGGCGCTGTTGGGTCTGAAGGGAAATCTGGACATGTGCCTCGCGTCGCGCCTCTCGACGCAAGTGAATCTGGGGAATATGACGAGCCGGCAGAATGTGGTGCGAATGATTGTGGGGAATATAGCATTGGTGCAGGTCCAGGCCATCGTGGCCTCCTTTCTGGTGGCCATGTTCGCCGTGAGTGTGGGTGCGGCCATGACCGGAGAGTTCTACTTTGAGAATGTGATGCTGCTGACGGCCTCGGCCATGTTCACGGCCACCTCGTCGTGCTTTGTGTTGGGTAAGTGCATAGTGCATTGAAAAACGCCTAGAGAAACAGTCCCTCAAAGTAACTATCTATTTGTTTTCATCAGATTTCGTTTTGGTGGCTGTGATCCTGTTCTCGCAGAAGTACCAACTGAATCCGGACAACCTGGCCACACCGCTGGCCGCCTCCATCGGGGATGTGGTTTCCATAAGTCTGCTCTCGTTCATTGCCTCTCTGCTGTATGAGAACATAAGTGAGTGCCCCCCTGCTTTCCCCCCAAATCCCACTATATTCTATTCCATATTGATACTATTCCATTCTGTTCTGTTTAGAGACCCATCTGTGGATCACTTTCATTGTGGTCACCTGCTATCTGGTGCTGTTGCCCATGTGGGTGCTGATTGTGATGCGGAACGAGTACACGCGCCCGGTGCTGAAGAGCGGCTGGGTGCCAGTGCTGTCGGCTCTCTGCATAAGTGGGTAGGTTGATCGAGTGCCAAAGAGTCTCAAGAACCGAGAATTGAGGCCATGATAAGCACAAATCCCATGCCATACGAAATCGTCAGGTTTTGCTGACCATATTTAGATATCGGTCGATCGAGGCTTCATTTGTGCCAAATCATGTCCAGGCATACGCTTTACTAGCACGCCGTAGATTGTGTGTATTTATAAATCTGATAAATCTGTCGACGATGGTGACCATGTGAAATTTTTGCCCCTTGTTATGGGTGTCCCTGACTCGCATTTGGCAGCAGGTCAATTGCGGGATACACACACACACACAACATCGCACAAGCAGAAAATACTATAATTAGAATTAGAAGCAGAATTAGAATTCCAAATGTTCGAGTAATTATCCGCCATGACTTGGCAGGAACACAGACTTCAATTGCAAATTTGTAATCCCAAATCGAAATGGAATCACATCTAATTTTATCATTTGTATTTTGCAGACTGGGTGGGCTCGTGTTGGATGCTGCCGTGGAGGTATTCGATGGCTTTGTGGTCTTTCAGCCGATCATCAATGGAATTGGCGGGAATCTGGTGTCGGTGCAGGCCAGCAAGATATCCACAATGCTGCATCAGAGCTCAATTATTGGCATTATACCACCGCACACAAAGATCTGGGAGTGGCCCTGGAAGGCGTTGTTCAAAGGAGGTGAGTGCCCGGCGGTGGTCAGGATTCCAGCCGAATGCGAATAATAATAATTTGTTATCTGCTTGCAGTTCCCTACGCAAAGACGGCAAGGATACTCATTGCCATGTCCATACCGGGCAACATACTGTTTATCTTTACGGCTGACTACCTAAATATGCACGCCTCGACGGTGTCCTGGGTTTTTGTGGTCTCCTATCTGTTGGCCAGTTTTATTCAGGTGAGGAATCCCCCGAAAACAGAACGGGCAGAATGTATGTACGTATGTGTTGTGGCTAAACTGTGACTCCGTGTTTCCACAGGTAACGCTGCTGCTGTACATTGCCCACATCATTGTGCACGCGATGTGGAAGTGGAAGATCGATCCGGACAATTCGGCCATACCCTATCTGACGGCGCTGGGCGATCTGCTGGGCAGCAGTCTGTTGGCCGTCGCGTGGATCTTTACCATGTCCGTGGGAATGCAGTATGGATCTGGGGTGGAGAATGCACTGAATGCACCCAACTAGAAGGGGATCTTTCCCTCTAAACTCTAAACTAATGCAATAGAAGCCACAGAAAAACGAAAAGAAAGCAGCCGCAACTCGATATAAAGAACTGTTATGTACCTAAAGTGAAAAAGAAACATAGAAATCCTAGAAATTGTATGTATAGACCTTTCCCCCCCCCCCCCCCCCCCCCCCACACACACACTCACACACACACAAACACGAAACAGAATATTTTCCATATTCTGTCTGTCCTTCTTTGCACATGGCTTTTGCTTGTGTTCCTTCCTTTTTGCTCCACAAATGAAGTTATGTTCGAGTATATGGTACATGCCTATATATACATACGTATGGTGTATATATATTGTATACATGGCAGGCGTGCTGCATAATATTTTTTAAGGCTTTTAGGACAATATTATACACAATTTAAAGAAATATATATACAAAATGGGGGATTAAAACGGGAGATGGAACTAGAAAACATTTACATATGTATGTCGTTTCCTTCACCTCCTTCGGTTCTTGTTCTTGTTCCTTTTGCTTGAAACTTTAACCTTTTGTTAACCTTAAGGCAGCCAAAAAATAATAATTGAATCGTGTAAATGCAAAAATAGTCCTAAATAGAATATACATTACTTAATTTCTTGTTAGTCCCATGCACACCTACAATTTACAAACGTAAAAAAACAATGCGTAGTATTAGCGTAGATTTGATTTTTGCAAATCTCGCTTAATTTTTTTTTTCCTATTTTTTTAAATAAGTTTCTTATCATTCCCCTGCCCCGCCCACCTCCTGAGAAAGAAGCAATAATTCAATCACACGGCAAACGATATTTATTATTATATAGATGAGTGTGTGCATGTATGTATGTATATTCCTCTTTTAATTGTATATTATTATTGTATAGATATATTTTAAGTTAAAGCGTGCGCATTTCGTTTTTGTTTGTTTGTTTCTTTAAACCGAAAAATATTGTACAGTGAATGTGTGCGTTCTATAAAAAAATGCGAACAGGGATAAAGAAAACGATGAGAATGAGAGACGTTCTGAAAGGAAATGTGATCGATATTTAGTTATAATAATAACAATAATTATAAATTAATGTACATCGTAAACGAAAGGGCATCATTATTGTGTAATATTTGAAACAATAATACCAATTAATTAAATATGTTGGAATAAACGAAAGCAAAACGTTCATAAAGATAGAATTCCCACTTGGTTTTTAAATCTCTAGTTTGAAAATATCTTTGGCGGGCCCTAGCACCCTCATATCGCTATCGATGTATCGTACGCCATCTATCCCTCGATCAGCTATCGATATATCACCCGCATTTTTTATAATTTTCGGTATTTTTTGGGGTCTAAAATGAGCCGACGCTATATTTACGGTATATTTTGAAAATGAGGCGGTATGTTTCGGTATATTTCTGAGGGTAGGACGGTATATTTTATCGATAAATCCGCGATCACACTGCTCGCATGCGCAGCCAACTTAGGCCCGATGCCAAACATTTCAGAACTTTACGCGCAAATAAATAATAATAAATAAACTGAATTTTACGATAGGGTAACTAATTATTAGAGAGCTCAAAATGTACCGCGCAATGCCCAGGCGAACCAGCGAGTTCCGCGAGGATGTCCACGAAGATGAGGGCAACGTGGACAAGCGGCAGACCAGGTAAGGAGGACAACAAATTGGATTTTTAGTTAGTTTTCTGATGCCCTACTCTCTTTCTCGGGTTCCATGCAGACTAGGACTCCGCAGCATGGCCACGCCCACTCCCAAGGCCAAGGGTAGCTGCAAAACCATAAGGTAAAGGAACAGCCATGCAACCAACGGCCAGACCAATTCAAATTATTTGTTTGTCCATCCGCCAGGCCATCGCATTCCCGGTTAGGGCAGCCACTGTGCCTGGAACGAGATCGCGGCAGCCAGATGGGTCTGCCGTCGAACCGAACACCCATGAGCAGCCATCGCATGGGCTCTGAGATGCCGCACCACTCGAACAAGAAATGGGTGTCAGAGAAGTGCCAACAGATCCAGGACTATTTGCACGCCATCTTGCCCACGCATAGCATACAGGGAATCACCAGCGAATTCTTCAATCGTGGCTCGGGCCTACGTCAGATGGGAACGAAGCAGTTTGTGGGAATAATCAACTTTTTCTTCCATCAAATCATACGGAATCGGGTCACGGTGGGCAGCAATCATGTGGAGGACATTATGAATACCATGCAGAAGCTCAACTATCCGTACCAAATGAATAAGTCCTCGCTGATGACGCCAACCGCACAGCACTCGTTCGGCCATGTAATTGTGATGCTGGACTTCCTGATGGACTTTGGCCCACAACCGGCGGCCGAGGATGAGAGCAAAGATTTCCCTTTCATGGAAACGGCCGATCAGCACAGCGCGTACCTGCACAGCATGGCCTCCGAGTCGATTGCCATGTCAACCACCCAGAGTGGACCGCTCGTGCTGGACGAGGAGCAGAACGAGCTACTGTGGGTCCAGGCCACGGCATGTTTCTCTCTCTGGGATCAGGAGAACAAAGAAGAAGAGGAACTGCTGCAGGCCAGGACCAGAGACAAGGTTATCAGCAAGAGGTGCGACCTGGCCGACCGCCGGGCCCTCGATGCGGACATAGAGGCCCTAAGAACGAAACTCAGCGGCGTCGACCAGAAGCTGGAAGAGGCTCTACCCGCCGATGGCAAGAACTTTCAGCAGCTGGAAAGCCTCATCTGCAAGCAGGAGCAGCTCAGGCAGCATCTGCAGGCCATGCACAAGGATGCCGCTAATAAGCGTGATCTGATCAAGGAGCTGCGAGCCAAGGCCAAACAAAAGACAGCGCAAATCAAGTCGCTGGAGAAGGAGCGGCGCCACATCCAGCAGACGGTGTCCAGCCAGCGGTACACGGCCCAACAGCTGAAGGATCTGCAGATCCAGTACACCGATCGTACCAACGAGTCCAAGGTCTACAAGCGCGAGGTCAAAGAGATCACTGAGCGTCAGCTCAACCAGCAGGTACTGCTGTCGCGCTCCAAGCAGAAGCTCCTGGACAAGATCGAGCAGTTCAATTGTCTTGCGCGCAAAATCTGCATGGATTCGGTGATATGCAAGGCCAGCGGTAAGGCTAGGATGGAGCTGGCCATGTCGCTGCAGCCCAGCCGCGACGAGGTCCAGGGTGGCCATCAGCGTCTGGCCAAACTGGCGAATCGATTGCGTCTGTGCCGCCAGCGGAGCGCTGACCGTTGCAAGCAGCTGGAGGAGCAAAAAACAAATATCATGGTGACCAAACGCAACCTGGACACCCAACTGGCCACCCTAGGGTCGGAGTTGCGGACCCAGAAGCAGACCATGGCCCAAATGGAGTCGAATCACAAGAGCAAGCTCGAAACGATGGCGCAGGACCAGCAGCAGCTTATCGACAGTCAATACGAGCTAGACACCCGGCTGGAGCAGCTGCAGGCCCAGGAACGGGAGCACTGCAACCTGATTCGCAGCATGAAGCAAAAGAACGGGGACCTCATCACAGCCGGCGAGTTGTGTCAGCAGCAGGCACTGCATACCAGAAATGCCTACCTCGACAGCTACGAACAAACGCTGGCCGAGGCCGAGGAGGAGCTCAAGGCTGTGCAGCTAACGATTGCCGAGAACGACAGCAAGCTGTGCGCTGCCAAGCAGATGATCCAGGTCACAAGGATACCCCCGTTTGATGCGGCATTCCCGGCCATACAGGAGTCCCCCTGAGTTTGAGTTTTTAATATTTTTGTTTTGTGTGTTTAATAAATTATTCCAGGTATTTTTAAATAGATTTGTTCTTTTTGCTAGTATTTCTTTCACTGCGCAGGTGCGATCTAGGATCTCGAGGACAACATCAACCTTTTGCGGGTGTGGGTCAGCTGTCATATGCCGCAGGACTGACACAGGCAATCATTAAAGTGATGGAGCTGCCATCCAGCAGTCCAATGCGACTCCTCCATTAAGCTCGAAATATGGAATAATTGTAATTGCACATTTCATATGTTTATTTTTGTGTGTGTCTGGATTACATTTTAGGTTAAAGGTCAATAGTGTGGGTGGGGTGCACGGGACTCGACTCTCTGGACAAGAAGGCCATTAATATCGTTTCGTGTGTGCGTTCGGCTGGATCGGCCCCATCATACATAAATACGAATTCATTGAGTTTCTTATTGCCACGCGGATGAAGCTTTGAGTTTTCTCTAATTAATCTTCTTTTGTTTGGATTACAAATTGCACTTGGAACGGTCTAGCTTTACATATGGTCTAGGATATAGGATATCGGATATAGTACATATACATACATTGAGTGTGTGTGTGTGTGTGTTTGTGTGTGTGGCGGATGGCAAGGGGTTACACATAAATATTAAATAATATTATCATTTGGCCAATTTTGGGGACATGTAGAAATATCTAGACATTGAGACTGAGACACAATTTGTTTCGCAATAAATTAAATAATTATCATTATACGCTTAGTTAAGTTTTTTTTTTACAATGCCGCTCTGCCGCTTGCTGCCGTGACCCTTCAGACAATGAAAACATCCCCGTTGTTGCGCTCTAGGGCTGGGGCTGAGGTGGCCACATCAGCCCCACAGCCAGGACGCAGTGGTTGCTGAGATATGCTCGAGAGGGGACTCTCTTCGGCCTTGTCGAGCAGCTCTGCCTCACGACCAATCTCCACGATGCCCTGCTGCTGCTCCAGGGAAACATTTCTCGACTCGTGCGCCTCCTCCAGGGGGGTGCCGGTGCTGGTTCTGGTGCTGTTGTCCTGGCTCTGGCCAGCCAGGTGTATGCTCACGCCAGCTATATCCAAGTCCTCAGCATCTTTGTGATTCTGGAATGTGACTGAGATCTCTTGGGCAGTGGCCACAACCACCGCCCCAGCTGCACCTTCGCCGTCCTCGCTGTCAGAAAGCGTGCCGGTCCCGTTGCCAGGATTCGCTGGCACTGTTGTTATCGAGGACCACCAGCTGGAAAAGGCGCCCTTGGCCTGAGAGATGGCGCCGCCAACCGCTCGACTGGTGGTGTTCACGGCCTGATTGATTTTACGACCGCTCTCGCTGTTCTGCATGGTCCTATGGCAGGGGAGAGAGAGAGAGAGAAATGCTAGAGGGCGTGCGAATGGTTCGGAAAGATTGGAAGGGCTTACTGCGCCAGCTTCAGTTTCATATCCGCCACGGATAGGGTGCCGGCAAAGGGATGGCCAGCGGGTAGGGCTTCGAAAAATTCGGGTTCGGGTCGCACATCAAACCATTCCTGATAGCATTGGGTGCGCTTGAAGGCGCCTATAAAGTGCGCATTAAAATGATCGTTGTCCTTGGGCGTGGAATCTATCGAAGGAATCATCATGAGAGGGGGGCTGGAACAAAAGAGCAGCGGGAGGGACGGCACTCACCCGGAGACACTGCGGTGCGTAGTAGAGCCAGAATGTAGCCCTGAAACTGTTCCCTTATCCAATGCTCGCTGCCCTCCGCATCTTCTTTGGGCGTCTGGACATGCTTCATGATGTAGTCCATGTAGCGCAAATCTTCGGTGCTCAACACCAATTGGCGACGCAGTTCAGGATCGTGGGCATCCAGATTGGCCGCCTCAATGTCGACCAGGACGTCGGCCAGCTGGCGCTTCTGCTGGAACAGAACATTCGAGGTGCCAATGACATAGGAGAGGACCATGGGATCGCTAAGCAGATCCATGTAGGGTAGCGACAAATACGGCAGACAGAGATTGCCGCTGGCAAAGATGCTAACGGGGGCACGATACTCATCCGGGTTGACGGAGCACAGGGCGGCCAGGTTGGCTGTGGAAACAGAGGGTGCGGAGGCATACAGATAAAGCGGGGATTCATTTGGACTCCACTTACAGGCTAGTGTGTCCACGCTGGCCTCTCGCGTTAGCGAGCTGTTGCGGCCGTTCGATTCCCGATGCGACGAGGAGGATGCAAAGTTCGAGTCCTGCGAGTTTGGTGTGGAGTGGGGCGAGGTGTCGCCGCTGCATTGGGAGCCCGCCGAGGCGGCAGAAGAGACCAGCGCCAGGTCCTCCGCCTCGCCCTCGGCTGCCGTTGCGCTTTCGGGCGTCAGCTTCGGCTCGTCCTGTGTTGCCGCCTCAGCCTCTGCCTCGGCGGCGGCCAGTGCTAGCGCCTCTCGTTGCAGCGAATCGGTAAAATCGGGCATGGGCGAAAGCGGACGGGAGGTACGCACACAGGCCACCTCCTGAAAGCCCTTCTCCAGGAGTCGCGGCACCAGCGAGGCCATGCCCAGGATGAGCACACACATGCCGCGCACCGGAGACCCAAAGCAGACAACCCGGCGCTGCAGGAGCAGCAGCTTGAAGAGTATCAGTGTCTTGTGGCGCCAGTGGAGGACGATCTCGCGAAGGGACAGTCCCACGTGAAAGTGACGCAAAGGGCGGCGTGACTCGTCGTCCAGCAGGCAGGCATTCAGCTGCTGATACGCCTTGACCAGAAGTTCCGTGCAACTAAAGTCGCCCTGGTCAAAGAACGCGTCGGCTATCAGGGCCAGTTTCACCTCGATATAGCCATAAATGGGCTGGCGGGACAAAATGCAGACCGATTTCTGCACTGTGCTCCGTGTGACATCGGCTGTGCGGATTTTAAGCTTCTCCACGCGTATCTGGCGGTAACAGGAGACGCCATAGATGCTGGCCGCCGGCTCGAACAGGCTGGGTAGGTTAAAGAACACCGTATCCTCCACGAAATTATGTGAGCCGTCGGGCAGGGCCAGCGTTGGCAAATACTTCCAACCGGATGGGCACTCGTTGCGGCCACTGGAGCCGGCTATCAGCGGCGGATGGGAGAACTCCACCTGGCATCCTAGCTTGTGGTGGAAACCCACCACCAGGATGTGCAGTATCGGTGGCTTATTCTCCGGCTCCGTACTGCTGCTGGCCATGACGGCGACTGATCAACTGCACACAGGAATGCGCTGTGCTTCGTTGCGGTGTGTGAGGCTCTGCTGCGGTTAAAACAATTCCCGATTGACAAATCGAAAGGCGGGTGGGTGGGCAAGGCAATGATAAGCCTAGGAGTCAGGATTGCGAAGCCCACATCAGCAGCCACTCACTCACAAATACAGTTGCAAAGTGTTTGCAATCGCTATTGTTATTGCTGTTCTCCTTCTTTCTACGCGCTAATTGTTGTTGTTTTCGGAATTTGCTTAGTTTTTTGTTTAAAAAAATTTGCAGTGTGTTGGTGATGGGGGGTTGGCAGCAGTGTGACTGCGGATTTATCGATAAAATATACCGTCCGACCCTCAGAAATATGTCGACATATACCGCCTCGTTTTAAAAATATACCGTAAATATACTCACGAATTCAAGTTCTATTTTACATATTCCTCGTTTTTGATATTCCGTCGAATATTACTAGCTATATAGAACATTTAGCCATGCTATCATAATTTATACGATTGATGAATCAATTTTCTATTTTACTGGTGTATTTTTAATACTTGCTTTTATTGCATTTTGCGTAAAAAGAGGTTTTAGCGAAATAAGTCAAACAAACAACAAGTAGCGAAATAGGTCAATCAAAACAAACGAAAAAGGAAATTGCTCAAATTTGATATTCCATTGAATAATGCTGACAAGCTAAATCTTTCAGTAATGCCCGAATAGTTTTATCCCATTGATGAATAAACTTTCTACAAGATTGCATAGTTTTTAATCCTTGCTTTTATTTTATTTATTGTAAAAAAAGGTTTAAACGAAAAAGTTCAACAAAAAAAGAGTCGCTATATTGCGTGTAAGCCGTAGTATAGGCCTTTGTATACCATATTTTATTAATTTTATATGAAAGTATATATATTGATATGAAGATAAAACGTAACTAATAAAGACGTATTCTCAAATTGACATTTTTTAGACATATTCATGTATATGATGAGTGATGAGTATATGATCTCGATCCTGATACCTATTCTTGGTTTCTGCAAGAAGACAATAAGCTTTAAAATATCGTTGAAATATTGGAAATAATATTAAATAATATTGAATAATAATAAAATATATTGAAAATAAATTGTTTTTGCCTGTGATGACAAACATATTGACAACTCTATAACATCCATTTCCCCCAGGGTATGTGTGCATGGAATGAGACTCATTGTTGTCAATCGAGTAAAAGAGGTCCTTACCCGATTCAAGTTCGGTTATCGATACTATTGACTGGTTACGAGTGGTGCGCGCCAAATCTAACTTTTTTGAATGTGAGCGACAAGGATTTAAATGTTGTCAACCGGGCCATTACCGATTCAACAAATACGACGTTTCCCTCAATTCTGATCTTCCGTCGAATATCAGCTATATGGAAGATTTAGCCATGCCCACATAATTTTATACGATTGGTGAATCTATTTCCTACTTGATTGGCCTATTCGATATAATTGTTTCATTCATTTCATTTAATAATCTTAAGTCTTAATAAGACTTATTAATAATAATAAAGTCTTAATAATATACTAATCACTAACATCACTATCGTCCTTAACGATGTCGCTGGGATTTCGCTGGAACAGCATTTCAGTGTTCGGTTCAAAATTCTCGCAACCGTTGTTCTTCCTTAGACCTTGTCTCACATATAAAAGATTTGAAACATTTATATTCATAAATCTATTTCTTGTATTTGTTTTTATTAAGTTCACTTCGGAGAAAATTCTTTCACATGATACATTCGAAACTGGCAATTTTTCATATTTTAATTCATTGTTGAAATCTTTTATTTGTCCCAATGAATACCAGAAATGGCCAGGACTTTTGTGTGTTTTTAATAAACTAAAAAGAACCTCATCATTTTTTAATAGGACAAATTCATTATCGATTCCCTGCGGATCTTTAATAAGTTGAGGAAATCTTTTATACATGCAAATCTGATAATTGGCCATTGACTATGGGCTTAGGTTCAGGGTTTAGGAATGAGAGAAGTTTAAAAACCTTCTCGTTAAAAGTTAACCTTTTCTTTAATTGTATACTCAACACGATCAAAAATTACTGTGCTCTTTGGAAAAATTACTATTTTCAATTTCTTTCTAATTTTGACACTTCGAGGCTTACATTAATTGAAGTGAAATAATTAATTTTATTATAAATGTATACATGTACATGTGAATTTGTAAAGGACAAATATAAATAAAAAAAAAAATGTAACTAATTGTGGCTTATAGTTTTCCCATCAAGCGGATTTTTTCAGGATAAGTGCTTGCTTAGTTTTTAAGAAATCTGGATGGCATTTAGCACAAAATTATTTGCTGCTGCAGTCAGCATTAGAATACACTTGTACATATGTATGTATCGACAAGATTAAATTAATATATAAATAACTAGCTGACATGAAAACAGTCGGCGCCACAACAAACAAACATTCACCAAGTCTTAATAATCTTACCAAATCCGAGCGAAATCAAAAAATAACATAATATGATAACATAGAAACGACACTTTATAAAAACAGTGTTTATGTGAAAACAATTTTTTTGATACAAAAATTCTGGTTCAATATATCCCTATATAATTGAGGATAGTTTCAATGAGGCTGTCGGACTCCTGGTATATCATATAAAATCATAATCATAAGTATTACTTTCACGACTTATGTACATACATAAGAAAAAGCATACACTCGACCGATTGGATAGTCGGGAGCCATTTTGCCAGACTTGAATATTACTCTGGAGAATGTCTTCGAACCTGGAAAACATTAAGACACAAAATCTGATCTAATTGGGACGATAGAAGTTGTTTGGTCAAGTATTTCACTCGATTATGTTAAGAGCTTTTAAATATTTTTTAAACTGATTTCATTCAAGGTCCGATATTGACAATTCTCGTACCAATCTGTTATCCGCCTTGCAGATAGCCAAGTGAAAATTATGAAAGTCACCGAATCGGTGTTTTTCGAATTTTGAAAAACGATTTTGGTGGTATACTATTGCAAATTCGAAGTATGAGGAAATTATCTACTCAACCAGGTCTACAACTTAATTTTTGTCCTTTGGAAATTACATTTAAGTATACAAATAAGATAGATATTAAAACTTTCTTATTTGGAAGATAAGAAATTGTGTGTTTCTGGCTTAAAGCAAGCCTATAAGCTTTGACCCTTCTTGACCGTAAGTGGCTATAATTTTTCTACAATTAATTTATTTATTTTAGTCTGTGATTTTTTGTATCTATTCAATTAGAGTACATAGACTAGGTGCCATTGTTATCTGGAATAATAAAATATGCCAGTCAGTAGTGTCAATACTCCAATAAATCTATAACTGGAGAAGTCTTCTACAATTTAAATTTTAATATGTATACTTTTCAAATTGTAAGAAAGACGAAACCCAAAAAATTAAAAACAAAACGAAGAGTTCTGAAAATAAACGTGTAATATTATACATATAATGGACAGACCATAAGTCCTATATAGAATTTCTGAGTTTGATTTCGTTCCTAAACGGTTTGATATTTTCAGCCGTTTCTTTGGTGTTTCTTTTATGTGTTTTTCCTCTTGGATATTTCTGTGTTATTTCTCGTTTCATGTTCGTTTTCATTTTCATTTAATTTAGTTAAGACTTATTTTTAAATCGACTATCGAACGTACAGAATCTAAATTTGGAACACAGCGAGTTGTTTGTTCTTTACAAGATATGTACGAGACCTGGACTGGACTGGTGCCGAATCCGAATCCGAATCTGAACCATTCCCATTCAATGAATGCATGCAGAATGGGATACGAAAATATATATTCTCATTTTATGGGGCTGGGCTGTGAAATTAATTTAACCGAAAGCAAAATGTGCACAGTCGTAGACTGAATGCAAGGAAAGATATTCAAATTTAAATATTTGGGCGATTTCCCTGGATGATACATACATATGTATATATATATGTATATTAAAAGCATAATTATTCTAGAATTTTTAATATGATATTAACTTCAATAGTTGCAAATTATTTTGAGCCTGATTACATATTTATACGTACTTCAATGACAGGTTTTAAAATATTGAAAATATTTTTCCAGATTTTCGATATTGTTTATGTTATTTATTATCTATGGATATATGTATTACCGACAGTTACCCGTAAACATCGCCCCAGAAAGCTGGCCTATAGATAGATATACATATACTTATATGATATTTAAGCAAATGCATATACATATATGCACATATCTGTGTATGTTTGTATTTCTGAAGCAGACTTCGTGCATACGAGCGGTACTAAAACCGAAGGCTATAGACGAGAGCGCCCACACAAAGCGCCAAAAATAGAACAACGAAAATCCGAAATTGTGCTATTTGTTATTCCCTGATTCTTTTTGTTGATGCTGAAGATGATGCGAATTGAAATTCAGTTGAAGGCATACCCATACCATCTCTATACATCTGTATAACCGACTAGTGTATATATTTATGTACAAGAATTGTGCAGATTATTGGAATAGCTGGACCGACGTTTGCCATAAGTTCAAAGTTGTTTATCGAACGGAAAATGTTACGTGAACCCAGCCAGATGGCAATGAAATGTTCAATTCCGCCGATTCTGACCGATGTCTGTGCTGGATATAGCCGGGGCAGACATGCCTTTCGCTATCCTATAGCAACCGATTTCTTCCCTGCCCACCGGTGCCTGTGCCTTACTGCAGCTCGGCGATTTGGCAAGCAATGGATGATACCTAGACCATACCGGACGACCCATATCCAACGGATACAGATGCACGGATTGAGATACATATCTAGATGTACATGTGTAAATAAAGCATATTCGTATAGTGCATATCGTCTCGGTACATACGGTTAAAATGCAGATACTAAACTGTTCTAAATTTAAGAGACAAGTAGATGCCGAATCAAAACATAAATCTTAACAAAACAACTATATACATAACCATATGTATGTATATTGATAGTGGGATTATATCATTATTATTAGACAAGTCTGGGATCTGATCTGCCATAAATGTAAATGGGAATTATTTTTCTAATACGATCTATATATTAGGTATAATAGTTTTGCTCTTCTAAGCCGATTTCCAAATGATTTCTCCTCAAAAGCTTTACCTAAAGAAATCATAGATCAATTTAGTTTTTTATTTGAGCGTAGAAATGCATCAATAACCCCCAGAAAACATCCTCTCCCTCTCGCTAAGAAAGATTTTATGCATTGTAATATTCGATTTTGCCAGGCGGTTTTTAGTTCAG